CCTCACACAATTAATTTCTGTTATTTAAACTGCTGGCTTTTGCTTTTAAAGTAGTTGAAGATATAACTTTCATTTTCTTTTATTGCACTGTTTTGGATATTAGTGGAAAATGATGTATTTAATTTTGTTCACAAAATAATGGCAGAAGTGCATACTAAACTATCGGGTAGACACACACACAATGGGTTATTTTATGAAATAATACATGTAATGTGTAATAAAATAAAATGCTTCGGTACCCAAATTTGTGAAAATCCTCCCTATGATTTTTGCAAAGATTAAAAATGATCTTGCTGTTGTCATCAGGAATTGTGACATTTAGATGACATCAGATCTGATGAAAATAAATCAATAAATAAAACATTTAATTAAATTCTACAGGTTGGGGGGCACATTTCCTGTAGTGCAAATTACACAAGCTTTTGTTTAAGCTGTCACAGCAGAATGGTGAAATCATCAGTTAGCTGTTCATTAACTGTCAGCCAGTTACCGCATGTTGACAGGATTTACACCTCGTAGGAGATATCTGAGCACAGATAGCATCATCTGCATACACAAGTCATTAGTCCTTTCTGCTACTGGAGAGATAAACATTTCATAACAAACCCACATGCGCACTTGCTCATTTAAAGTTTGGCAAAAAACTACAAAGCTGTTTAAACTGAAGGTATAATCTACAGCATCTTCCAGATAAATATGTCTATAATAAATAATATAAAGGTTTTCTTACTTAAGCATCTCCTATTACAAACTAAAAGCGTGTGGTGGTGTATTTATCTGGAACTCTTGTGGTCTGGGTGTCTATTTAACTTAGCTGAGCTTAAAAGAGACACAGAGCAGAGAGGTTAAAGCAGCACGGTTTGCAGGGTGTGTTTTTAGAAGCAATCATTGTGAAATAAATGATGATAAATAATGAAATGTTTCTATTTCTATATATTTCTCCAGTTTTTTATTTATTGCTGCTGCCTTGCTATTTACATTTTATTCCTACACAGTTGAAGTGGATCAACCATGATTTCATTGTACATGTACAATAACAATAAAGGGCTATTCTATTCTGTGATTCACTGTGTTGTTCTAGGTAATGCGGTCCTTTGTCATCATTCACTTTCCAGTTCGAATAACCATTATATTCTAATAACAATAATAAGTTTTTGTTGGGCCAGGAAGCGGGGCTAAGTTTAAATATTGTGGTCACAAACAGTATCCAACAGTTTTTGTTGATGGGTTTTTCTGTAAACCCGGTAAAGAAGTTTGCGACCCGCAACGTCATTCAGCTCTTGATTTGATTTCATACCCATCATTAATTTTGAGAAAAATGCTGTAAAAGATAAAGTAATTTCACTGACAACTGAGACAGTCTTCCAGACGGGTTAGTGGCCTGTTTTACTTTTGTGGTTTGTGATTAATGACCTTCCTTCCTTAAACACAGACTTATCTGCAGGTCTGCACTGATTTCAGACAACCTAAATCTTCACCTGCCTGCCTCCCCTGCTTCCTGAACTTTTCTCCCCACAGTAATCTAAGCCAATAGAATCCCTGGATGATGTGTGTTTTGATTCTCCAAACAGCCAGAAGGCTGTGCAGATATTGTCAGGGAGCTCTAAGGCACAGCACACAGCAGGGCTGGCTCTGCAGAGATTGCACCATAGTGCTTGCTTAAGGCCAGAACAGCAGACTGACATTATGCACTCTTTAAGCTGCATTATGTTCATGTATTGCAACCTTCTGGTGTCCACATGTCATTATAAAGAGCATGAAAATATATTGACCACCTAGACAGGGGCCCGTTTTTGCAGCTTTTAACGGCTTTGTAGGCAAAGCTTTTCACACAGCGTGGCATTGTCTGAGTGCACAGAGAAATTAGAAATGTTCTTCTGCGGCTCAATTACTTTCTCTAATACGGTTGCATTCAAAGGGTCTATTTTTGGAGACGATTAAACCAGTATTTCCCCCTCTATCGGTGGGCAGGGCCCCCATACATCTCAGCCACCCACCCGCTAATCCTCATCATCAATCAGGCAACATTGTTACAAGGAGGGTGTGTTATTGAAATTAATTAAAAACTGTTTTGCCCTCAAACCAAATGTATTTCCAATACTCTAACATGTTTACAGAAGCGTAACTTTCAATATAATGCTAATGTCACTGTTCTGCACTCTTGTTCACCGATATGAAACACAAAAATAAACATCAGAAATGCATTTTTAAGTAAAAACTGTACACTCTTCTATCAAGCCAGCCATGGTCTAGGATTGGTTCTTGATACAATATCTGGAATCAACGTGTGAGCGATAGGAAAGGTGGTAACTTCTAAAAGTACTTTTATTGCACCATGTTCATTCACTCATGAGCTTCTGTAACATGAATCAAATGGCTGAACTGCCACCTCAGCATACAGTCAAGTTCTGTAGTCTTCTTAATGACCTACTAATTTTATTCAGGTGTGCTGCAGCAAAGTTTCAGGACACTGGCCCTCCGGGACTGGAGTTTGACACCCCTGCCTTAACCAGAACTTGTATAAAAAAGAATAAAATTGTCACTATAGCTATCTTAAAAAATTATTATTATTATTATCTGGTCAGATCATATATCATAACGATTCTCACGTATTCTGCCTTCCTTCCCTGACCTTTTGCCTGACATCCAACATCTGTTGAGCAAAATTGACGTCTATTTATTTGACACAATAGTCACCCACAATTTGTTAGCCTTGATTGTATTTTTCATTTATTTTCCATGTTCCACCCTCATGCTGGATCATCCTTCAAACAGGATAATGTGGGAAGGATGCAGCTTAATGTCTCATATAGAAACTGTGGCCTCAATCTGAGACTTCTTTTCATCCCTGGAAAATAAATCTCTGTACTTGGTCTTGGCTTCGTCGAAGAATCCAACAACAAAGCCGCAAGAGGAACGTGTTTGTATACGTGCATGCTAGAGGATGACGTAGTCAGAACGTCCTGTACCGACTTGTGAATTGTAACACATACTGATCTTTTCAGCTCTGGATCAGGACTCTGAATTTGCATCATCCTAAACTGTATGCAGATGTATGAGCATCTATTCTCTTTTGCTGCAGTTTCTTGTGAGAAATGTTGCATGGAGCGTGAAATAGTTTCATAAAGCTTTAGGGAGGAGGTGTGTTTGATTCATAACTATTTCACATCTGAAATGGGGTGTACTTTCAACCGTAGCTATTTTTTTCATGCCATCTGTTGTTTAGATGCCAAAATGTAGGAATCTGCATATCTCAGAACTAATGAGAAACTAATGGGCCATCACCAAAAGTCTATAAATGTGAGCTGTGACATTATGTGGAAGCAAATGATCCTGCATACGCTGGTATGTTTTGTTTCCCATTACACAAATGCCTTTTTCTTTCTCAATAAGTGGAGATTCTTTTCCCACCCACTCAACTTGAAAACCAACTCTACCTGTACAAAGACTGCTGTACCATATAAATGAAGTCCTACTCATATGTATTTTAAAGTAAATCCTGTTTTTATCTGCATGTTTGTTGGCAAATTTCATCATCCAGTGACAGACAGAAAATTTACAGAAGTTCCGCATGGTTGGACTTAGGCGCCCAGGATGAGGTGTCTTGGTGATATTACTTGTATTACCTGTTTTGCTATGAGTTTGCTATGAGAAATTTCCATCTCAGTAGTTAGAAACTGTTCAACGGTTAATAATGCTTGTGCTTTCACTGAGGATTAGAGGATATTGAATCTGTTTTAAGAGTGATACCAATATCTAAAACTGAGATATTTCAATATAATGGCTGATTATTTTTTTCTTTCTCACAAACCTAATATAAACAGATATTGCTAATATCTGTTTTGTTTGGTTATTTAGTTACTCATTTAACCATTTGCCTGACTCTGCATGGATTAGCTGGTTGCTATCTTTTTAAATGTCGTTAGCTTCATAGCATAAGTGCCTAAGTCATTTTTTGGTCAAATTGAGATTTTTGCCTAACTTATGCATGTGATATTTAGAAAATTAGTTTTTTCTTGTTTTCCGAAAACACAAAAAAATGACTTGGGCACTTATGCTATGAAGCTAACGATGTTCATTTTTGGGCTATTATATATGCCGATACCAAAAGACAAATGGCTAATATCTAACCTAAGTTGGTCAGGTTTTAACTTTAGTCTTCAACCAAAAACTGGTTAGCACATAAAACAGAGTTCTGTCAAATAGAATCAAAGCTTGCCTACTTACCATGGAAGCTTTATTCTGGCACTAAAAAAGCAAACACAAATTCCAACTTGGTAGCATGAAGTTATTTTCTCCATTTGGAGTGGGGTTTTTTTGTTTTTAGCTTTTTTAATTTTTTCTTTGCATTTCAAAATTTTGAGATCTTAAGTCAAAAATTTCAGATGCAGTGAAAACTTTTAGCTACAAAAAATGTTGTCTTGTGGGTTGAAAGAAAATGACCTAAGAAAATTAAGTAACAAAAAGATCCACTCCACTTTCAACAAAAGAAAAATGTGATTGGAATATGTGTAGGGTTCACCACACAGCATAAGGACTCAGCTAACTGTTCTCACTCTTTCACTTCCTTCGACTGACCTCTGTGTCATTTCCTGAACCAGCCCAACCCCAACCTAGCTTATCTCAATCATCCATGCCACAACTGATACCTCTGACTCCACATACTTCATACTTCAAAAATATAGCTTTTCAGTTAATGAAGTGCTTGTGGCCTTTTGTGCAGGGGTAGATTAGCTGTTAGTCTCTACAGTTCTCCAGGCTGTATACTAACTGATTGTTATCAATAGCCTTAAATTTTGCAAAGCATAAGAGTGGCATCAGTCTTTGTCTGCATTTTGATGCAGCTGTCTGCATCAAAAATCAAAAGGAATCAATTCCAGTGTTTTCTCAAACCACCTGTTTACTGCTACATCGCCACTGAAACTATACAGTCTGCCCATATACATCATGCAATTTTAAATGGCTATATGTTTTAACATTAACTGCTGTTTTCTGTGCAGACAGACTGTTCTACCGACAGCGAGAGTGAAGACAACTTCATAGTTGTCCCTCCACGAGATCATCTCGGCCTGGCCATATTCTCCATGCTCTGCTGTTTCTGGCCTTTGGGGATTGCAGCATTTTACTTCTCACAAGGGGTGAGGCCACACATGCACATATTAACACAGGCATGCAATGCATACCCTTTCAAAGTTGTGGTCTGTCACACATGAATGATGCAGCATCTGGTTGTCAAGGTCTAGCATGCCCCCACCCCTTCCCCCCCAATCACCCATACACATGCTTCTATAAATTTGTAGAGATGGGAACACACAAACATGTAAACACACACATCTATCCGTCTTTATGTATGACTCATTACCAAAAGATTAAGAGCCTTCACTCTTAAAAAAGGACTGACAGCTGACTCGCTTACTGCAAGGCCAATTTTTACTGAGCTATGCATCAATAACTCAAGGCCAATCTGTAATGGCTGCTTGATGCTCTGTAAACAGGCTGAGAGCCTCCTTTAGGAAGAGTCTATAAATCACTTTCAAGGTTCTATCTGTAAATGCCAAGAAAGGTTGTATTCAAAATAATAAGATGAGAGAGGATCTCTGAACGTGTAGACTTTTCAAGAGGACTGAAGATGAACCCAATTAAAGGCGGGCTGATGTATTAAAGATGGTGAGCCCTTGGGGAAGATGAGCCGTAATTATTTTGCAGACACACTGGCATTCTTTTGACTGATGCGCTAAAAACGAATCGTGTTTTATTGCAGTCCAGCATAAAAAATACTAAAAATGACCCTAAACAACGTAATCTGAAGCGAGAAGCTTTACCAATATTTTCTTTTCAGTAACGTCTGCAATCACAACATAATAGGTATCTAATAGATTCCAGCCAGACTTCCTCCCTCTTTTCAGTTCTCTTTGAAATGACTCTGATGATGTTATGTCAACCAAAGAGCACAGGGAGTGCCTCTTGTCTTGCCGCTAATCAAGTCTGTCCTGTGAATCATCAGCATAATAAAGACAACACATTAAAAGGCTATCAGCACAAGCGTACACACACAGTATGTCCGAAAATGCATGTAAACACACGCACTGCACATACAAACACACAAACGTGCTAAAGACAGACAAGCTTTTCATTAAATTGCCCTGCGTCTGACCACAAATTCTTATCAAAAGCTCAAGCATTTAGCTGCCTTATCTTGGGCGCAAGTAGTCTAAGCCCGTCAGTGAATTATCTTGTCAGGAGCTAATTTGATTCTTCCTGGGTAATTATGGGGAAGTGATGGCTGTGTTTAGGGATGGATGATTTTTCTGCCAATCTCCCCCCTTTAGAAGGTGCTTTCCTGAAGAGCTGTCAGGATTTCAAAGATATGGAGGAAGTTTGGGATCGCTTAATTTTATAGTTCAATAACCCACTTCACTGGTCTTCGTTTCATGCCGTTATTCAGAAGGACCAACCTGAAAGTGGTGATTCTATAGGAGCTAGCAGAGCACATGTCTGAGTATGCTTACCGGTGCATTTGCACTGCACTGGTGGCCAATAATGGCAATATCAGCTCAACATGTAGGTAAAATCAGAATCTTTATCAGCTTTTACTTCATAAAAATATAATGGCTGAGGAATATATGACTCATTAAAAGAAGCCAACACAAACCATAACTAGTTGTAGCTGAGTCAGATTTCCTTTTTGGATTGGATGTTATCTAATATAATTAAAGGATAATTTTGATTTTCTGTGTTTTTGTTTTAGACATGGGTTCAAATAGCAAGATTAGCAACTGGTCTTCCTAAGCTGTGCAATCATCACACAATCAATAGTATCATTCTGACTTTGTTAATCTTAGAATCCTATCCTTAGTGATACCAACATCCCAATCCTGCGAGCATTCAAGCGAACCCTGTTTCAATTTCCAAACCTAACCAAATAGCGGTGCAAGCGAAGCAAAGAGCAAAACAAAGTCCCTAAATTCAAAGCCATGTTCTTCTGGCTGATTATTCCACTGCCACTCCAAATGAGTACTTTGTAGATCTCAAAAATAAGACAGCTATTTTTCCAAATCTAATATTTCCATGGCACGCACCCTGTGTGCATCTCTGCCTGCGTCATTTGCCGGAACAGCAGTAAGTGATGCCCTGGGATGAGAATGTGCTGTCCAGAACTGATGAGAGAAAACAATAAACAGATGTTGCATTGTTGCCTAAGGTAATCTGTCTGTCACAATGATGTTTGGGGGTAAAAATCAGACAAATGGAGCTTTCAGATACAACAAAGCATGCGTTTCGCTCGCTGCTGGGTTGAGGGCACTGTTTTGGAAGAGCTGTGGACCACATAGCAAAATCAGTTAAGTTTTTGAAATTCCCAATCAGTGCATCAAGAAAATTCTGTATATGAAAACTATATTGATTTACCCTTTACTTCAATCAGAAAGCTTCAATAGATCTACTGAGAGAGAATGCTTAAGCAACCCTAAGCCATGCTTATAAATATTGCCTACCTTGACCGAGGCTGGGCAATTAATTGTCTCAAGGGGCCGCTTGAGAAACTGGGACTGTTGTAGAAGGCCGTACCTTCCACAACAGTCCCAGGTTCTCATGTGGCCCCCTGGGAAAATGAATTAGCCACTCCTGTACCTGACTGTTAAAACACAGCTAACATGCAAACTGGGATGGAAATCAATTTTCTAAGATAGGGATTTACCTCTGTCGCAGGTTCCTTTCACATATACACACCCTGCTCAATTCATTGCTTTGGCAGAGCTTTCTGTCTTTGTAGAACACTGTAGATGTGACAAGGGCAAAGAAATTTATTTATTTATATTTTAGAAATGATAGCACATCAGCTTCACCACTTACTCTAAGGACATTTAAAAACAAACACGTTAGCGACTGTAATAGACTCTGTGGATGGCAGATCAATAGTGTTTTTGTTCCACTGGAAGGTCAGGCCTAGTCAAATACAGCGCCGCTGCTTTGCCAAGGAGACGAGTGAGTGAAGGCGTCAGCAAACACCTTAACACAAAAACAGACATGCATTCATATGCTGCTGTAACGCTGTTCGCCAAAGACAACGGCTTTTATTGTGCATAATGTCTTTATGGTAACTTGTGGTGCACAATTTTGAGATTCAGTGTTAACCTCCCCCCACAAACGCACGCATCAGCTGATAATAACTGGAATACCATAAATATCTGAGGGAAATTAGCTTTGAGCATTTGATTGGGAAGCGGAATTGAGTTTCAATTATTGCCGCTAATTGGGTGAGTGTTTTGTTTTGGAGATGCTGATAAATTCGTCACTTAGCTCTGAGACATCTGCACTGGAAAGTGCAGGGCTGAGGAGCAGCAACAATCTATTTCACGATCTTGCAAATAAGACTCCCCTGAAGTTATCGTATGGCGTACGAGCCATAATAAAGAATGAAAATGAATGAGCTCGTTATAGTGAAACTGTTTCTCTATTTGTGCCTGTCTGTGCGAGGGAGGCGGAGACACAGACACAGAGAAGGGGGCGTCGAGTGTTGTTTGTTTGGAAGAAAAACCTGTTAAGGGTGCCGAGTCTCCATGCAGCCGAGTCTCAGATGTTATCTTTTTTCTATGACACCACATTTCAATCATTTTGTCAAGGTGGTGGAGATAAAGCCTTAAATGCTTCTAACCATTTTGCTCTCAAGGGTATTCAAGGAAAAATACAATGATTGACAGTGTTAAAAGTTAAGCTGCGATATTTTCATCACTCTCAGTCCACATTACAGCATTATTTCAGTTTGTCACAAAATGCCTTGATTTCATTTTAACTGACAAACATTGCGTATCATATTTGACAAATGCACCAGAGAAACTGACCCTCGAGTGAGTGCCCTTTGAATAGCCTCTGTAGAAAAAAACCCCTCTTCAGTCTGAATCTCAAAACAAGTCAGAACTATTTTAGTGTCCCCAAAGACCTCTGTGGGGTTGTGCTAATATATTGTCAGAGGGAGAATGTGCTTTGTGTCATTTTGAAAGCAAATTAAAGCCTAATTTCCAATAAACCCCTCATAATGGTGCTTCTGTTCCAGTGATTACTGTATTGATGTGGAAGCTGAAGGCTGCCTCGAATGCACATATTTCGTCTGGATTTTCTTCCTGACCTTTCGAGGCATTTGTCTAAAGAGCCTCTCTCGTTGGCTCTAATCTAGCTGTCTTTGTCTTGGACTATTAACTTTGTCTTCAAAAATCTGCTCAGCCTTAGAGAAACAGAGCAAAGTGGAAATATCCTGTGCTGTTTTTTTTTATTAAGTTCAAACAATCAAAGTGATACAAGACCCTTCCTAATGGCCGCTCTGCGTGCATTCTGCAAAACTACAGAAGGTTCTGACAGATGCGTTGTGTCTGAGCCAGGGCTACATCCACAAAAGTCAGGAATTCAAACAAGTGTTTGGTTTTTCAGTGATCTGCAGTGAAACATCTTCTTCACTTGCTGTGGGCGCTCGCAGAAACATACAGAAAGTTTTAGGCATCTGATTTTGTTTAAATGCTTCGTAATTGTCTCCGTACCCTAAAAAACAACCCCAACACAAAGTTTTCCGTCCAGTAAGCATCAAAAAATCCTCTTGAGCTCTGAGCTCATGCCAATTAACAATGCTTCCTTAAAAGCAGAAAACAACTGATTATTAATCCTGTCTGCATTTATGTTCTTAACAATATATTGAAATGACTACATAAACAATGCCTGTCGTTCTGTTCTAATATAATTGGCTAAAGCCAGACTAAATATGCAAAATTCATTTATATCTGCTTCACTGGAGTTATTTTACCCTGGTGAGAAACTGCAGAGAATGAGATCCAGAATTTCGAGCTAAATGGAGGAAGGCATGAGTAACTAGAGGTCATATTCTGGTACAGCTGCTTTGTCGCTGTTTGCATGACTGTAGTGCAAATTGGCAGAGACTATGAATAATACAATATTTTTGTCAGGAGAGAGCGATAAAGCAAGACACTTAAAGAGTAATTAAAATAATGTATTCGACTTAATATGCACAAAAGGGAAAAGAAATATGCCATTAGCCTTTGGTGAGTAGACCCCATTGTGATGTCATTATTTTAACAGGTTAGTCATTTTATGGAGTCTAGACCCTGGTGGTGGACGAGGAGTGATGACATGAGAACTGGAGGGATGTGAAGAACCCACCAGTAAGGTTGAAGAGAATTGCATTAATTCCACACTAAAATAACACGTGGCAGTGGGAGAGAAAGCACAATCTGATTGGTTTGACAGAGAATAAATGACCTCAGGAAAAAATGATGAGTTTGAAGTGGGGAAACGGGAGAGAGGGATGTGCAGTAATCTAAACAGAGCTAGCATCAAGACAATCTTCCTAATAGAAATTTCAATATATATTTTACATTAGATTTATCGCTCACTGCACTCATTTTTTGTTATCACTGTATTTCTGTAAACTGTACTGTAATGTGCGAAAGAGTTGAGCCTTCCGATATTTCCTTATATTTTGCTGGTAGAACAGGAAGTAGGTGCGGCGATTTATTAAAACTTCTTGAAGGACATTTAAAGCTCTTTTTAGATGTGTGCTGCCTTTTGTTCTGTTCTGTCAAGATGTTCCCACACTGCTTCAAAAATGTTGCGGTCCGAACTCTGGGGAGGCCAATCTATGGCTGATACTGTTCCACTGTATGTTTCACATGGTCTCCCAGTAAGACCATTTCTAATGACGCAAGTAGATGGATCAACTGAAGAGCCAGATGCATCTCTCGGGTCCTGTCAAACGTCATTGCTGGATTTTCTTCTTTGTAAATAGTAAAAAATGTCAGCATCACCTTCAAATATAGTTTAGGAAATAGTCTTGCCACTTTTTATTGCATCTTCCACTCTCTATTTTCTCTACTGTCCTCGAGGACATTTTCCTTAAACAAAATGTCCTCATTTTGCACTCGATGCCAAGATACGTTATCAGCTAACAGCTATTTGGGAATCACCTTATTGCTGCAAAAATACTGTGTTATGTCATCTTTGACTTTTTTTTTTTGTAGATTCAACTAAAGAAATTAGAATAAATTATGTGTTTTTGTTACAGGCGGCTAAAAACAGTATTAGTACTATACAGTACTGTATAAAATATTAAATTTTAAGTGCAATACTTAAACATTATACTGGCTTAATGTTACAAAGACAGATTTTGTTTTACTATTTATATGACTAGCACAAGAAAAAACCAAACAGCCAATCTTCAAGGAAAAGCAACTTTGAAAGGCCTTCAGAAAGCCTCGAGAACTATCTCAGATTATACTATGTTAAAAAAGTAAACTGCAAGCATTCCTTACTCCACTCGGTATTTCTTCTCTCCCCTCAGATATCCAACAAGACCACACTTAAATAAAGACAGATGCCATGAGACTACATACCTGAACCAGCTCGCTCTTCTCAATGAGAAGAAGATTTCAGAATTCTTCTCAGTTTTCCCTTATGTTGAGCAAAGCAATTCTACAAAAGCAACTCATATGCAAGACTTTCAAAGTCGAAGGTCAAACCAAGTATAGCTCTTCTTTTTTTTTTAATGGAGACTTTGTGTTTAGGGTTCCACTCCCTGCCTCTGCCAGATGCAAACTCTCTGACTACTGAGAGAGCTGCACCTGAGTAGCAGTGCAATCCCTGTTAACCTTGATTTTTAGTAAGAAATGTTACCTCATGTACTTGGTGCTGTGGCTCACCTCCAAAATGAAAGTGGCAGAGTGAGCTAGTGTGACCCTAAGGCCAACTTCATCATACTCACATGCCACACATCATTATTAAATTGGATACAAGAATAATGAAGGCCATTTCATGCATCCACACAGTGCATTTCAAAATTCTGTTAGCACAGGTTCACACCCATCTGACTGTGTTGTGTTGTTGGCACATTGAATTATGGTTGTAATTTATAAACATGTTGAACACTGGAGACTGCTGAATCTTTGACTGCTGTGAAAAAAAAGTAGTAAATACAGTAAGGCATTGTAATAAAAAAAACTGAATTTATTTTAATTTAGTGGAAGAAAAATGAAACAAGAAACTTAAAAAGCCAATACAAAGGCCAAAAAACGCCAATATAACAGTTTATGCTCTGTAATTTCTGCTTCAGGGATAACCTCCACTCAGTGAACTAAATGAAAAAGAGAAATCAAAATAGTCTATTTTCCCTTCTTTTCCCTTCTGGCGAGGAAATCCATTTGAACAAGAAGATAGCTAAAGGTTACATAGCACAGCAACCACAAGTCTTTATACCTGCTCCTGCTTTAGAGAGGAGATTCTCTATTTACCATTATTAACTAGCAAATCCCCCGCCCTATGTGTGGGAGATAGGAAACATACATGCATGCATATATTACAATCATTATAGTGTGATGATAAATGCTAAAAAAAAATGTATGTTTTGATGTAGATTCCAAATACTACATCCAAACACTGCACAACTCTGCAGCTCCCTGCTTTATAATCATTTTCAGCTCAGTGTTTTGGAGCCCAGACTTCACATTACAATCACCACAAAATTAGGATGAATTTTTCGCCTGCATGATTACATTTAGATGTGTTTAAATACAACCAACATGTTTAATATACATCTACAGTGACTAATGAGGCAGGAAACGGACCACTTCAAAACATAACCAAGTTTCAGTCTGTTTATTTCTGAAGTTATTACGTATCAAATAATTGTTATTTCTGAGAATGTAAGTACTGCCCATTGTTAATCTCACAGTGTTCATTTAGTTTCTTCTTTTACCATAGACTCTTCTAATACACTTCTAAAAATACACTATATTAATGCTGAAGCTTATATTCATTACGCTGAATCATGCAACATAATCGCTTCAGTGTTTGTACTGTAAAACACAAAGTCAGTAGTTTCCTGGAAACGCAAATCAGACAGATTAAATATACAAATCAAATTTAGTCAAATGGCAAATCATATATACATGAGTATATTGTAAATGTATACATACATATATATATATATATATATATTTCTTTTTGTCAGTTGGTTTTCCAGTTGGCATATGTACTTAGAAAAGAAGGCTGCAGTACCTTCATGCGTGTCATCATTCATGTCTGTAAACACAGAAAAGCTCAAAAGGTTTTGAATTACTTCTGATAAAACTTTGTATGTGTGTAGAGTTGGGTAATGTTAACAATTCATTAAAACTTGGCTTTCATCCTACAAGGTCTTAAAGGTCAGCTTAATGATTAATGGATTTAAAAACTGACAAAAGCCTTATAACTTCACCTATAAACTATGATTCTTAGTATTGAAAGTACAGTACAGTATAACGATATAAAATATCATTCCCCATTTGACCTTTGACCTTTCCTTTAATGTTAATAGGTTGATCTGAAAGTCAAAGTGATAGTAATGCTGTAGGTATTTAAAAATATGTTTATCACTGCCATTGTTTGTATTGACAACGTATGGGAAAACAGTGAAAAAAATATTATATTTATTATAATATTATTAATATTTTATTTTGATGTTGTTATATGCATTACAGTAAAAGGCTAAGTGTTTAAATACATAACAATTTGAATACATGCTCATGAACAAGTATGATTTTATTTGGAAAACAAAACTATCAAACAAAAAATCAATAGAAACGTTTTCGCTTGACATTTATCACTAAACATTTAAAATTAAGTTTAGTAAGTAAAGTAAAACATAATTGTACTGAAAAACATGTCAAGTATATTAAAATGGGTTTCAACAGAGAAAAAAGAAAAGCCTGAAATTACTTTTTATTGTACAACATGCTTCTTAAAGAATGAATAAAAAGAACAAAGAAAGCAAAATGAATGCATAAAGATCTCAATGCCATTTCCTTGAAACCAAATACTGCCCAGACAACGAGAAGCCTTGGCAGAGGTTTGTGCTCTCAGAGTGGTTTTTGTTATAAAAGCAGCTTGCTTGAAAAATAAATGTATGTCAGAGGACAAAATATAACACCAATTTTAGGATTCTTATTTGATTGAAAACAAAAACTAGTATTTACTGCGGTTTAACGGCTGCTTTTTCTAGCTACACTAACAGGGGCTCGTGAAGAGGATCTATATGTGCCTGTTGTAAATGGGTCATGTCAGTGGGAGTCACTCTTTGGAGGGGGAAAAAAGCAGTGTGGGCACACAAAGAACCAGCTTTACACTCTGTGACTTGAAAGCATGGATTAACTGTGTGATATATAAATATGAAAAGAATTATTATTTTTTTAGTTCAATGATAAATTGTGAATCTTGTTTCCCCCCATACGATTTTTGTCATTCAGTGATAGCAGCTGAGGTGACCATAACCTCCTGTCCTTCACATTTTCACACTGATTGCGATTTCTCAGTCCTGCAGTGCATTTTTTATTCAGTTCATGTATTTATTTGCCCAGGTCAGTCAGTTGGTCTCTCCATTTCCATGACTTGAGGTTTTACATTGCAATAGAAACGATAAACAACATATTTTTCAGTGGCTCACCATTTCTCTTGAAGTCGTTGCAAATGGTATCAGCCTCTGATTTTCTTCTTCTTCTTCTTTGTTTTCTCTTTTACAGACCACTAAGGCAGTGAACAAAGGTGACTTCCCGCTGGCCAACATCGCCTCCCGAAGGGCTTTGTTCTTAGCTGCCCTCTCCATCACTATAGGCACCGGTGTGTATGTAGGGGTAGTGGTAGCGCTCATTGCCTACCTTTCTAAACCAGGGCACATATAGCAGTCACACCTTCTTTCCAAACACCTCCAGGGAGCCCAGGAAGAGAACACCGTCCTCTGGGGAATGTCACTGCGCCTGCAGACTTTGAGGAAAGTTTTTCCAGGATGTACAATTTTTCCCCCCCTCCACCTTCCTTTTGTTCCAGACTTCTCTCCCTGCAGGCCCTCTGTCAGCCAAGATTTGCCACAGTGACTGGAGAGAGGTCAAGCAAGAGGGCAAGAAGAGGGAGGACTGTGGATTGAGAGAGACTGCTGAGACAGAGGGTTTGAGTAAAGGAAGCATTCCATGTTGGAGCCCAGTTTGCATTGCAATGGCTTAAATCCATGTTTGCTTCATCCTCTCCTGACGGATTTTTAGGTTCCACAAGCCCTAAAGAAACTTTGAAGAGAGAAGCTCATACAGTAACCTATTGAACTTAACCAATTATTAACAAGCAGAGGTTTAGGAAGGTTCAGATCAACACAGTGTAACTTATTCACCTAAACCAATACTATACTGTTGTTGTTTGAGCTGCTGTTAAAATTGGAGCTGCCCTGTGGAGTCTTGCCCTGTATCATCTCAGTTTGCCACCTAGGATTGTCTTTAATATACTATAATCTGCCCCCATCAGCTCAAAAATGCATTTGTCTCTGGGCTGACTGCCTCACACCGCAAGATTTTAAAAAAAAAAGAAAAAAGAAGAAGATGTGAGAATATTTACAGTTTCTTAAACCATGACAAAGGACTTATTTCCAGAGGGACATAAGAACAAAATATAGAGCGTTCATCAATAAAGGATCAAACTCTTGAAAATCAAAATAATAATAATTATAATAGGGATCACGGTTCCCTTCTCATTAAAACAAATGCACTGGCATGAATCAGAAAAATCTCAATGGAGCCACAGGCCTGCATTTTTCCTCAGTAAAGCTAGCCATCTGTCAAATCCCTAGTACTCCTAAAATCTGCTCATGCAGATATGTTTGCCTACATACATACAAATTTGCTTTATTTTGTTTGTTTGTTTTTAATGTTTGTCCTTTTGTGTTCTCTACTGTTTAAAAAGTGTCTTCATTAACTCTGCTTAAACTAATTTTCATTTATGGCCTTTGAAGTAAAGCACAGATGTGAGATGGCCAGATATTCAGGGCAAATGGTGTCCAGTGTTTCTACAAGTGACACATCTGATAACACAGCATGAAATATGAAATGAAGCATGAGCCATTTAAGGATGCCATATACATCAAGTACATAATGTCAGTTCAAAGCAGAACTTACATACAGTTAGGTTCTTGGTTTTTGGACAAAGACTTAATTGTGTAAATTCTGGTTTGTTGGAAATCAAACGATCAAGATGTGCAGACTTTAAGATTTCATTCAAGTGGTTTAACAGAAGTATTTAATTAGTATTTAATTTCAAGAGGCTCAAAAAATACTTATAATTGGACAATGGACTAACAAGCAGTTACACAGCCAGGTGAGGCCTGGTTTTCTGCACTGTTCTGTTATAAATTAAGCAAATAAAAGATCTGGAGTAGATTCAAATGGTCAAATGTGGCATTTGGTAGTGGAACTGAGTCACTGGTGTTTATTGATGATAATGACACGACTACACTCTGCTCAGATTCAGCTGTAGCTGTAAAACTGATCACACTGAACTTCACAGTGGAAATGGAAAGCATACTGCGAAAGCAACCCAAGGCAAAACAGTTACATATCCTTCAATGGTGAAGTAATTCGTGCGTATCTGTCTGAACCGAGCATGTTGTTAAATACAAACCCAATAATAAGCAATTAAATGTGACCACA